CACACACTAGCTAATCCTGTGTAGACAATGCGGCAAAATCTCTTGCACATGTCGTCACAAGAAAAGTAGCCGTAAAAAGTATCCCACCATTTCACAGAAGAGAGACATTCTGAGAGAGCGCAGTTTTCAACAATGGCAAAACTTGGTAATGGGAGTTTGCTCTGTTGAACAAGTTCCAAACAATTCAACAACTCGATGGTTGTGATGAATGTATGCCGATTTCCTTTTTCTCGAGCTTCTGCTTAACTAGGGCGTCGTAAAGTTTCCGAAATTTGTAGGAATGCTCTGTAATTGGCTACGAACATTTTGCGAGGTTACAGTCAAATCAGCAGTCATTTTTCTCATACCGTTGTGTGACCTCCTCAGGTATCCTTTAAGGTTTCCTCCAGCAGGGGAGTTGCAACAGAGATGGGACGTACGGAATAGCGTTTACTTTGAGCAGGTTTTGCTTCACAATACGGATAATGGTGGTGCGGAGCTGTGGAAAGGACGAGCAAGGACGGCGACGAAAAGCAAGCATTCACTCTACGGCGGTATGATATGGACTTTACCGTAAAAGTCAGGATTTTTGTTTGACAGCTTTGCCCTGTTGCGACTGTTTCGCTGTTTTTATCATTACACTTATTTGCTAATACAGCGTTCGTTGTGGTACATATGCACGAACAACAAAAGTATTTCGGCTTAGAATATCTCCGTAGGTGAGCTTGAAGAGAACGTTAGGCCGCGTTCATAGCTTGCGATCGTGAAGAAATGCCGAAACTGCAGAAGTGCGGAATCTGCAGAAATGCCGAAAGTGCGGAATCTGCAGAAAAGCAATAGATACGTATCGATTTGAAGAACTTTCCGCCACGTCATCAGATTCGGCACTTCTGCAGTTTCGGCATTTCTTCACGATCGCAAGCTATGAACGCGGCCTAATGCACGTTGAGCATTAAATTTCATGTTGAATTGTCGGCATGACATTTCGTGTCTGAAAGGACATCACTCCGTGTCCAAGCTACTGAAAAACCCCCATAGATGCCCGTCAACAAAGAGTCATGATGATTTGACCTTTTTTTCTTACCCCGTTTCACAACTCTGCAAGTTAAGCGCAGTTTTTCAAGCGTATTCAGGTCTAAAATAGAATGTTCTTTCTCTGGAATTTCTCTCATGCCTTCTGTTATGCACATTTATGTTGTCAAATTGTATTCAGTCTTGAGTTTGGGTACATGCCATAATGTAGTTGAGGACAATAGTTATGCTGTAATATAAAAGGCAAAATAGGCGTAGGTGAGAGTGCATTCTTTGCTACGAGAAACGAACGTGTCGAGGGTGGCACCTCGTGCACCAGTAGTTCTAGGCGATTCCGCGTCATCGTGGCTAACAAGAACATCAATAGCATTCTCCTTGGAGTTCATCTCAAGTCTAGGATACCTCTCACCTCTAGTGTGGATAGGAAGAATTGCGGTGGTTTGAGACGGGGATGGAGTGTAGCATGGATACTCTGAATGGTTTCTTGAAGTTCATTTCACGCCTGAATGCCTCACACATCTCTCTGTGAATAGGATATTTCTGCACAAGACATATCGATCATCCTCAATGCGCCTGTTTTTCACTTGTTCCATGAGGATATTTTGCTTTGCTGATTGATCAAATAAAGGCAATTAGCTATTGCAGATGTCAATAGCACTGGAATGAGTGTGGCGTGTAGTCACTTGGTTTTTGCCACATTAATAGCCTTCTCAATTGAGCGGTCATCTACGATGTATCGCGCAGTCAAAATGCTGATCAACACTGAGAACTCGCCCAGATCAAGGGCCATCGAAGTGTACATACGTCTTTTCCTTGGCTAAACTTTAGAGACGCTTCAGAAAGCGCGCGAGGGAAAGTTTGGTCACTCAAATTTTGGTCTATCCTACTGGATGCTTTCGAAGTTATTGTCGAACTCCACTTCAACGAGGCTAGTGAAGGTGATGTAAATGGTAAGTGACCATCTAGCAATTGGCTTCCTAGTGGGCCACACAAGCCCTTTCAGCACAAGACGGTGAGCTGGCACAACACTCATCTCAGAGGTCAAGAACATTGATGTGTGCATCACCAAGCGACCGCACCGCAATTCATTGAATGGGCAGTACTGTAATCAAAACCACTACGTTCTGGACGGGGTTTGGCAAAGATGATCTGAATAATTTTCCAACCAAGAAAAGGTTATTGACAAAAGTAAAAGCTAGAGTAGCAAGTATTTGAAGCGTACCCACAGACAACGCATGCAGACACAGCATATGCCGCACGACCAATCTTAACACGTTGACGACAATGCGCGTTTTTACTTTTTGGCCGCGTGGAACAACAAGCCCTGTACGCATACAATTCAAGCCGTCCCACGAAGCGCTTTTTTGGAGATTGGATCGAAAAACCTGGTTTAGAGAGCAATTGAGAAGTAAGTCAATTATTTACTATGAAAAATCTGAGCTGGGCCAACTCTCCTTGCAGGCGTTAGGGATTTGTCGAACGATTTTTTTTTCAATGAGAAACGCAGTCGTTTTTCTACTAGGATTCATATCTTTCACCTTATATTTTTTCATCATTGTTAATGTCTGTACAGTTTTATTAGTGGAACGATTAAACAGCAACACATTCCAAAGTTGAGGAGCAAATCAACATTAAAGCTTAAAGTGCCTCTTTCCGCAGGAAAGCAACTATTGTACTAAATTATTCCATGGACCACATGTTGTACGAGTTTACTAGGCTGGCCTATAGAATGAATAGGAGAAACTAAACAAAAAAATCATGCACTAGGGAAATATATGAATTTGTTGATCGTGATTAGCATACATTTCGCGCGGTCCCACGTGACTCACAATGCGGCCCCGCATATGAATATAGTGTATCACGCTGTCGTCAATGTGTTAAGCATAACCAAATGCGCTGCTTGTCTGCGCCCTCTCACGTTTAGTTGCTTTCCACACCTGGTCGGGATGGGCAGCTCGCCTTTTATGTCCATCGCTGCGGGCTCTCGACGTGGATGGTTCACGTTGTGGTTACGGGGTGGAGCCCGAAACAGCATTCAACTACCAGAATACTCCAGTTTCATTCCCGCGCACGTTTCAACGGCGAAAGTGGCACAGTTCTACAGCTGCTGGTGTGTACATTTCAGAGCTAGGACTATAATCCTCGGAAAAGGGTATGCAGCGTATTTTGAATGTAAATCCACAATCAATGACTAGCAAATTAGGTACTTCTTTACTTTTATCTTGAACGTGAATCTACCATCACTAATTAACAAGATGAGTACTTTCACACCTTAATTCCAAATTCAAATATACAATTAATTAATAACGAGATGAATAGATCTAACCATAAGCTTTCCTTTCGATCTTTCTTTAACTATCAGTTTTAATTTCGAAAAGAAACTCAGCCTTCAGCATAAAACAAAGGAAACCTTCGAGCACTTTTTTCAAAAACCACTAAAAAAAACTAAGCGATCTGGGCGGGTACACAGAATGAGATCTTGTTCAAATGAAGAAAGCCGGAACTTTGACGATGATTGGTGAAGATTCCTCTGTGATCAAATCTGTGTAGGCCTTCTCCTTGATCTGTACGAAGAAAGAAACTCCACAGATGTTCCTGATGGTCCTGATGCGGAGCAATTGCACAGTAAACAGTTTTTGAGTGCTATTCGTAAATCTCGATTGAGAGTCATGTACACAACGCTGGTGCAAGTGCCTGAAATCAATCATAAGGTATCTATTGCTTGGATTTTCAAGTTTGCATTATACGTGTAAGCAGTAACAGACCAGAACATAGAAGTCCAATAAAGTAGAATGGACCAATGGAATTCATGACCACGTCGCCTCGAATGCCAGCTACACCAGCAATAATACTCGGAAATGTTACGAAAATTAAAGATGTGAATAAGATTCCCATTGATATACGGTTTGCCTTAAGTAGATTACTTTCAATGCATGAGATTTCGGAGCGCTATTCACTCTTTACTGCCCTAGTTTTTGAAGGGTTAGGTTCTGAGCTCGACTGTCTGAAAATCGGTCCCCATGGGTAATTTGACCTCTTAAGTTCGGTACTGCTCTCGCTCTGTATGAAACGTCTGGCACTCGCACCACATGCGCCGGCGCTAAAACAACTCAGATCACCAAATTCGCTGGAAACTTGTGTCCAGGGGTAGTCTCCTGAACACGAATATCGCATCTGCATCAGATGCTAAGGGAGTTAGGGATGGGTAAAGGGGGTACACGGGACAGCATAGCCTGCTTTTGCTCATCTGCACCCTTCTCTCGAGATAGTGATCCATTTTTCTGCTTGCACTGCGCCATAGATACGGGTAGAATAGCCATCGCAGTAGCGAAAGGTGCTGACATTGTCTTCGCAGTGTTTTCCCCACCCCGGGTATCGCCTTCGCATCTTCTTGATGAGCGCATGACCTGAACCTTGCAACGTCACTGCGCCCAACGTGCTCCTGGATAGAACGTCAAGCACGCGTGCCGTTGCATGTCCCCAGGACTCGCAGTTTCGTGCAAGCGGATACTTACGGACATTGTGTGGGGGAGGGGGGGTAGGGTTTAACTTCGGTTAGAAAGCTTTCTTGCGGAGCTTGACGATATCAAGAAGTTTTGATGACGGCGCTTGCGGCTCGTTCCGAAATGCCTACTGCAGTTTCGAGGCCATGCGGATGTGACATCGTTACAGAAGATGCCGCTACTACAGAAGAACGTTTCAGGACCGATTCGCCTTCAGTAACTACGTGTCGTAAACTCGGACCGATTTTGGAATGCTGGTCCAGTACTACCGGCACTAGTGCTGAGTTCCTGGAGAGAACATACGAGATCGGTTCTCGTAGTCTCGGTATCGGGATAATTCAGCAGTGACGGAGGAAGTTAAATCATTTCAATAGCTAACGACACTGCCTGAGGGAATAAATACACCAAGTCCCCTTTCCTTGGTGAAAGAAGACCAGAATGACCGATGTGACAATGTTGGGGAAATGATTACTGATTAAAAAATTGAGAAAAATGAAAAATTGAGAAAGTGATCAGTGACCACTTCTTGTTCCCCGACTCGAAAACAAGTTCGTGGAAAGCGTTTTCTGACCATGAAGAACTGAAGGCGGCAATTAACGCACATTTTAGGAGCAATATGGAAAATATTTTTCAGGGTATTGAAAAGTTAGTGCCCGAGCAGACAAGTGTATTGAAGGTTATGGGGGACTACACTGGAAAATAAATTTTATTCAGAATTTTCTGCTTTTTCCTTCATACCTATACCGAGAATACATTGAACACCCCTCGTAGTATGGGTGTAGGGACTACCTGCACGGAAGTTGAGCGGCCCGAGTCTTTTTGTATGCTCGTACTGAACACATGTGGTTTTGGTCGAGATAATCTCAGCTTGACCACGAATATAACTGTCAGCACAACGACGACGAGGCTCAATGCCTTAACAATCACTTGTTCCATTTGAGTAAGATTGAACTCTACCAGGCGGTGCACTAACCAAGTTGCTTACACCCCAATAAGAACAGAATCTGTCGTTGAGGAAGCACCACAGGGCAGGACAGTCCACCTTCGGTTCGAACGACGTTAGAGTGAATTCCACGAAAAGATCAAAAGCTGCAAGTAGCAGGCCGATTACCAGAGAAGCGATCGCATATATAGGAGAAGATAGCCTCCGATAGCCGACTGGGAAGTAAAGAGCCTAAAAGAAGTTTTCGCTTAATTCCGCGTGTCGTTGTTCGGTCGACTCTATTCTTACCAGTGTTCGCTCCAGCGCTAAAGATATAGTCAGCGTTATATTGACTTTGAGATGTGCAGGAATCGGTGTGCCAAGAATGAGCACATAGTAAGGATTGAGATCTATACGGGCGGCATTCCAGTTTGTGATAAGATAGACTGCGTAAGGGATTGCTGAAAACAGCTGGTACATTCAGATATCCTTCATAGGCAATAACAGGTCATGTGCAAAACTTACTTGCCAGTGCATTGAGGAAGTTAGTAGCTGATAGAAAGACCGACACTCGAAGGAACGAGAACTTCTCATTTCTTGTAATCCTGAAAATGGCAGTAGTCCTTAGATTTGTTCCAGGAACTGCGATTAAAACGTTTACCTGCTATGCAGAAAAAGAAAGGTACCATTGCAAACAAGTGTTGTGAATTGAAGTAACAGAACAATGCAGTCGAGAAACATTAGAACAGTTGTACCCATACAAACTGAGCGAAAACCAGTTCGTTCCAGACAGACCAGCCTACAAGAACTTGGTAAGTAGAGAGTACCGGTACATTCTGCGATGACAAAATGAGGACAACGGCATTCACATGAAACAGGAAGTACACCTCATATCGCGGAGATGCAGGAGGCGTGGCTGCGTATTTCATTTGAAGGCAAGTGGCAGGATAAATCCCCACGACTGAAGATTAATCCTAGCAGGAAGGAAATTTGGCGTCCCTGAGCAGGCGTTGCGTGGCGCCTTTTTCAAAGACGGTACCCATATAGCCACACGCTGCAAATACCGAATGCCTACCCCTTCCACCCGACTATAAATGTCCGACCGGTTCTGAGGCTCGTATCTCTTCTTTTGCGAAGTAAG